TTCCACAAATCCTTAAGCGAAAACTGTGCAGAATCGGTTAAGGACATATATAGTTTTTGTAGTTGCAAATGGTCACCCATATCACCCGCCTTCGTTTGCTCCATGAATTTTGGGACACCCTGTATAGGTTGGACCGATTTTGCACAATAACAGTTATGCTCCCCGTTTCTGCAGATCGCCCACTGAACACGCGCTGTTATTGCTTTGGTTTAAAGTCTTTCTTGGATGAACAGGCTATAGTAGCATAGAACTTTTTTGTAGGATTTTGTGTCATAATTTTTCGGTACTCTTTGTTGAGTTAAATTAGAGTCAATTACGAAGGCAAGCATACATGGGTATCCGCAAGAATTTATCTAGAGGGGGGAGGGGGAGCCATCATCAACATAAGGCAACAAATTGTAATAAGTCCTGCGTGCGCCTATGGTATAGTTTTTTATTTAGCTGTTTGAATACAGATTTGTATATACAGCATGTCCTATGTTGTTTCACTTGACATTATTATGTAGTGGGTAATATATAATATGTAATAGTCGAAATATTTATATAGTCCTTTTGAAATACACATAGGTACGCTTCTAAAATACACACATTAACAATTACACTTTAAAAGCAGACGTAACAGATGGTATGAGATAAAAAAATAATACACATTAACATTTATGAAGTATCTTCCAAGAATTCCTGGTGGCTGTAGTATAACTTGCTATAAATATGGAATAGCTTTTTCTCTTATAAGTTTGCATCTTATCAGTGCCTTTAATGTCAGCATGTAATTTATTGTAAAATCAATGCAATAGTACACTGAATAATGTTTAAATTCAGCCGAATTGTGAGATGGTATTTTGAAATTGTTACGGTAACTTGTATTCTGTGTGACACTACCAATCTCTTAAAGTCAGCTCACTGTTGTTTGACATACTGTATATCAAACAGCGTAGTATAACTATAGAATGAAGGGTTCGTAAACGCTCCAGAAAAGTTAGTTTGCATCTGTCTCTGGGGTTTAGACCATTAATTAACCTAATAATCCTTTTTCAACGATAAAAACCCATGCTGTGCCACCCAGCTAGGTATATTAAATGATAAGTGGCTAAAAACCATCACAAAACATATTGTTTCGAGACAAGTTCTGTCGACACTGTACTTTAACTGGACGAATGCATATAAAGGCGAGTTCATTCTGGACCAACTTGTCAGTCACAATTTGAAAGATCATCTAAATCGCTACCAAGATATTTAGCTGTATCTGAGAGATGTATTCCAGATGCCAATGTATCTTTTCGTATATGCTATTGTTTTTGGGCTATTTAGAATATTTTATAGTTTATGTCATCTAAATTTATGGCTGCTAAAGATATCGCAGTGTCATTTGCAAACATTTTAACACGGTTGTTATTAGGGTAATCAGGAAAGCCATTGTTGTAGAACAAGAAAAGGATTTGTCCTAGAACAGATCCTTGGGAGACATCACGTTGAACGTTGTGTACCGCTGAATGACATGACATTTGTCGGCATTCAGCTTGTTAACCAAACATATAGCAGTCACCATGTCAAAAGCATTGTTCGAGTCAAAGAACAGTGTGACTACTTGATTATAATATCGTGAGCGTGATTAAAACTTTTATGTCACTTGGCTCATTAAACCAAGGTACGACCACTATGTTAGTTGTTCTGGTTATATCGGAAGTAAGGTTGTCGACCGTTTCTGCTCAGACGATTGACTCTTATTGTTCGCTCTATTGAAACTTGAGATAAGGAAATCATGCTCAGTATGAAAAAGGTTTTCATTTGAATCATTCTGACATACATTTTTTAAGCGTCTTTCCTGCAACTTTCCGCACTTGTTAGGTATAAGATTTTTTCTACCATCGTGCGGAAAGTACGCATCTGCGTGCGGAAAAGTGCTACTTTCTGCACGCAGGTGCATGTTGAAAGTGAGTACGTTCCTCACGCTGGTAGAAAATACTTTTTTTAGTTAGGTACCTCTTTATTTCGTTTTTAAAGGTACTATTACCAAACTGTCTAATATAAGACGGTAGGGTGTTGAAGAACTTAATGCCAAAGTAGTTGGTCGCGAATCTTGATTTAAGTAATACAGTATTCATATGAACTTACCGATCTCATAACTCTGCCACCTAGAAGATTCACGTAGCAACCGAGTACTGTGAATGATATACAATCCACAATTATCGAAAAATCAATTCCTTCCTCATGCTGTAGAATACAGTATAGCACTCCGCATATTGCAAGTAATATGACAAGACAAAATTCAACAAATAACATGAGTAAGCTTGAAACAGCTATTACATTCCTTTCGTAATTTCTAACTATCTCCAGGTAATACTGCTGCCAAAGTCTGAGTTTGAACGACAAGTGCTGCAGTTGCAAATGTGGTGACATAAGCGTAACTTCAACAGTTTGATATAAAGACTTCAGTAGTTCCTCGTAAATGATTATTAAATTGATCGTCATAATATACACACAAGTATAATCCGTACGAGACAGAAAATATCCTAGGGAGTAAATGGTATTCTTCATTGTAGGCATATGGTATATGCTTAGGAGATAATTGCCAATATGGTAACTGTAGGCTAAAATGACGTGAACAAATAAAATATATCTTGCTTTTACCGTGAACTTATTGCTTAACGCTGATCCAACTCCAAACAGCTTTCTTCTTTCGATCAAGTACACTAGGTAATTAAATGAGACGTAAAAATCTTGACCATAAAAGTAGAAACTGAATCGTACAAGCAAGAGATTGACCATTTGGAAAAGCAATGTTATGTCTTTGACTGATATTGAGGATTGTATATCCATAAGGACGTGAACAAAAATATAAATGCTAACAAGGCACGAAGGTATCCATAGTGATTTACTGTACTTGCATATTTTCAAAGTAATCCTGGAAACGTTGTGAGAATGAGGACATTCTGGCATAAATGTGAATAAATTCAAAGACACCCAGAAAAGTAGTCTGAAAATGCATATTGGACAGTTGTTGATATTTTTGTTAAGCTTAAATAACTTCATTGTAGAGTATGAATTCGACCACTGTGATGCAGACTAGATGCAAAATTAAATTTTACTTACACATTATTTCGTCTGTCGGTGATCAATATTTAAGTTCGTCAACTGATGAATAATCAGGTCATCAGTGCAGCTATGTACACTGGCTTTCTATCAAATATAAATATAATGAAGTGGGCGGGCACATTATATTGATATTTTGCTTAGATATCATCTGCTGTGCGACGAAATGTGTCTAGGTTATTTACAAAGATACTTACATTTGTCAATAGTGAAGTAATTAGCAATCATACAAGACTGCGTGCTCTAAATAAATTTAGAAATAATGAAAAACAAAGAGCAATCGTGGGCATGTCCGCAATAAAGGGAAAGGAGCAGAAATAGAAGGATTGGTAACCCGAGTGACGTACGTTTCTGCTTATCGGCTTTAACAAGCACACATGGATGTGCATCGAAAACACCCAAGTGAAAACATATGCCCATAACATCTGGATAGTTGTATTTCCATTTCAATCATTGTTTTCATTCAGGTTACTCCCGTATCTAGATGTAATGGGCATCGGTTTTCATTTCGGTTTTATCGTTGCATATACATTTGGGCCTGATGAAGTCCGTAAGCAGAAATATGTATACGTCGCTCGGGTTAGCAACCCTTCTGTTTCTGCGCTTGTCTCTCCATTGCAGACATGCCCACGACTGCCCTTTGTTTTTTATCGCAAAACTGTTTGTTTTTGTTTATAAGTCACAGAATTATCTGACGAATCTGTTTGACAATGGCAAAGTACATCGGAATGTGTTAATGTTATTTGCAATTCACTAGTGAAGTAATGAGCAACCATACAAGACTGTGAGCTTTGAATAAATTTAGGAATCATGAACAACAAAGGGCAATCGTGGGCATGTCCGCAGTAAAGGAACAGGAGCAGAAATAGAAGGTTTGGTAACCCAAGTGACGCTTATTGTCTCCATCAGGAACAAATGGAAATTCATCGAGAACACCGCAGTGAAAATATATGCCCAGTACACCTGGATAGTTGTATTTCCCTTTCAATCATTTTGTTCCTTCATATTACACCCGTATGCAGATGTAATTGAGATATGTTTTCACTTCGGTTTTATCGATGCACATCCATTTAGACCTGATGAAGCCAATAAGCAGAAACATACGTTGCTTGGGTTAGCGACCCTTTTGTTTCTGCTCTTGTCTCTTCATTGCAGACATGCCCATGACTATCCTTTGTTTTTGTCTAAGTTTTCACAAAACTACTTGCCACAGAATTATCAGTCGAATCTCTTCAAAAATGACAAAGTCTAAAGACTAAAGGAAGAGTGAACCGCTGGCGGAAAAACGTTATCGTCTAAAAAAATAGAATCAATAGCAAATGCTTTTATGCGTTAAAAACGTCCGTTTGAAAAGCATATTGTGTTCATTGGACAGATAGAGTTATGTTCCACTAGCATTGTCTGGTGCAAGGTTTCATCATATTGGTACTTATATTTATTCTTCTACTTTATAAAAAAAAGTAATCTCACATATCGTATAGAATCTGAAATTTTATAATGTTCTCTCAACTGTTTATAGTTTAGAGGTGGCAGTGGATGGGAAAAAGCAAGCAAGAGAAAAAACAAAACCATGCATAGCAAGGTTAATAATATGCAAGCTAAAACTGCTGAAACTGTTTACCTAAATATGTGATACCGAAAAAAAAAATCTGACACAAAGAAGAAAATGCTTCATACGGGAATTTGAAGCAACTTCCTTCGGATTCTCAGAGTGCTTGAGAATATATTATAAAGTGTTCCTGAACGTGGAACGTTAAAGATAAGAAAATGCTAAAATGTTATACTCGTAACTAATGAAATTAAATTTCCGATAACTTTTGCCTTTTTATTCATATATTCTCCCAGATACAGATTCGATCATGGCATAAATAAAAAAGATAGGAATAAGATCTAAAAAAAAAGAATACACCATATAGAGCTTCATGTATTATTTAGAGCTCTCTGCAACAAAGTCTTATACTGGAACAGCACAAGAACATACGTAACGATGCTTCCAAGAATCTAAAATCGATAAATTTCAATCAATATAATTGTCTACAGAAGTTGTTACTGACAATTTCTATACCAATGTGTCATAAAAATGTTTATTGCGCAAAGATAAAGTAAGAGTAATTTAGGGTTGGGTAATTCTTACCAATTTTCACACTTTATGAAATATAACTCCAAACTACTTATTTGAATTGAATTGTAATTCAAAGTAAGATCACAGGTTTTACAGCAGTAACAAAACTTAAATGAACACTGAGAGTGGAGAAAATAAGGATTTAAAAAAATTATCGAATCGGTTCGTTAAGTTTGCAAGTTGTACCTTACCAAAGAGCATTCGATTTTAATTGTTAACTACAATTTGTTCATCCAACTTACACACACAAATCCTAAATAAGGAACATAGTGAAAATTTCATTTATAGAACTTAAACATAATAATCAGGACTTAGAGCACATTGGCTACGCAAAATCGGTATCATAGCAAATAACTGACAATATTTCTTGACTATAAGGCAGCAGCGGTAGCGTAGTGGTAAAGGTTATGGATGTTCTGATTGTCCGTAGATGGTAGACGGTCTCTGACTATCGAACGCGGAGGAACCACCCGGCGGATCTCTAAGGCGAGGCCAGAATGTGCATGCACACATGTTCCCTCACTAGAGTCCATGTGGCATCTCCCCTTTCCCCTGTATCTCCGTACAGCCCCACGGTACCCATGGATGCTTAGGCCTTCGTGGTAGTTCAAGTATAAAAAACCTTAAGCACAAATATCTCACATTATTTGCACCTGTCCACTTCCCCTATTCAGGCACAATTTAACAAACGATACAAATTTCCGAACCGGTTTGATTAATACAAATTTCTTAATTTATTTTTTAGAACTAAGGTTGGGTTAAATTCCACCATGCCTGAAATCTCATAAAATAACCATTATGAAAACTGCCTGAAAGCGATTATTTGGACACAAATGCTTATCTAATGTTGTATATTAAGTGACAGAAAGAAAACACCCAGTAATAATATATTTATTACAAACATTTTCCATATATACAGTGAAATCTTTATACCACTGACGGTGTAATGTGTATTCGGGAGAGGCGCAAGAAGCATGCAATTCGTATGTTAAAAAGAACTCGCCGATGGCAACGCAGCAAGCCCTAGATGCGCCGGTGGCCACGTCACTCAGGTTGCTTCTATCTCTTTCTAATACACGTATTGCACGCTTCCCGCGCTTCACTCTGATATACATCACGACGGCGACGTCAGTAGTATATGCCCTATTTCACGAGTATCTATCACGGTTCAATGACAGCTGGTTATCTAGTAATACTTGAACATTCTCAGTATCGGCACAGGACACGTAATTCTGACGGATTCGTCAACGCCAGGTAGAGCCAGCCGTATTTTGTTTTGGTTTTTTGTACGCTACAGATTCATTTTGTACTTGTTAACAGCTCTTTTATTCAGAATAGTTCATTTGCATTCAAAAAACAAAACGACAAAAACAAGTTTTACTAGATTTATAGGTACTCGATACATTACTGCCAAAGTTGCAGACTAACACAAGAATGTCACGGGCTGGTCAGCTGTTCACTTCAGTAGACATCAAAGCGTGATGGATACTCGTGAAATAGGGTGCATGTATACTGAGTGACAAAAAAAGGTAAACACCTACGTATGTTTATCCGATTTTAATAATTTTTGGCATATATGTTCAGTGTCCCTTACTACCGGCCTACTTGCACACACACCGATTTTGGACGGCCGGTAAAATATCGACCGATTTTAGGTAGGCTCTGCTTACACACGCGCCGGTTTTTTACCGGTGCAGTGCTGATTTCCAATATTGTTTTTCATGAATCTGAATATAAAGCGTCGGAGAATTAAGCGAAAGTTCTGGATTCATTTTTCTCTTTGGACTCCATTTCTTGAAAATCCTCATTCAGTTCGCAGCAAACTTGGCTCCATGCTTCTCTAGTAGCGTTTCTGCCTTTAAATATGTACCAAGTTTTATACCATAAAACTGGTCTTGCTTCCACTAGCGCAATAAGTATGTACATAATTATCGACGTGCATCTCTTTATCCATTGAAAACGTATATGCAGTCGTAATCACGGCCATTAAATAATAGGTGAGTGTGCAAGCTCCTGTTCAAACACGTATGCCTCTATATTCCCGGCGCATCACAGTGACAATGTCCGGCTGCTAACCGGCTTTTTTCCGGTGCCGGTCTGTGGTCGGCCAGTGTGCAAGCTTCAATGCCCTTCAAAGGTTTACTATTAAAATGAGGTTGGCTGATATTTTACCGGCCGTCCAAAATCGGTGTGTGCGCAAGTAGCCTGAATGTACGAAAACTGAATGTTTCTTTATCACCAAACAATACCTATGTAAAAAATTCTTGAATTCTAATAAACATACGTAAGTGTTTACCTTTTTTTGTCACTCAGTATCTTTCACTGTATGTTTGTTAAGGTTAGGGCAAAAAACGAACAGCTTTTAGCCATATCGCTAAAGTGGGTTTTGTGATATCGTCTGTTTTTGAAAAGGCGAGAAAATGTTCAACAGCTTAGTGAGTTTGATAGGAAGCGAGTAGGGGACTTGTGTGAGGCTGGTCGGTCTTTTAGAGGAATAGCCCCCAGGGTGCACGTAAGTCTAAATACGATGGTGGTTTGCTGTCACAAAGATTCAGGGCGTGTTAGAGGTACGGCCTCGCACCAGGATTGCTGGCTTAAGCTTTTGGCTCTACGGGATCGCTTCTTGTCCACAGGGTCACAATTGCGGACCAATGGTTTGGGGAGTATGGATAGCCTATTACAATGCGAATTGTTTATCGCCGGATCGATACTTTTGGACTTACTTCATACCATCCTCAGTTTGTCCTACCTCGCACTCCTAGGTACCGACTGGCTTGGCGCAGAGAACGGCTGAACTGAGATCTCGAATGGAATACCATTGCCTTCAGTGATGAATTCAGATTCTGTTTGGGCGGATTAGCCTTACCTACATTACATACAGGCCTCACTAAATTCCGTAATATAACGCAAATAACTACATTTGTAATCACAAGTGAAAGAAATAAGTGATCTATTGCAAATCTGGCTACAAGTGTACGTTTCGAGATTTAGGACTGTGTGTTGACGACCTGATAGGTATATACTGGGTGTAAAGTTAGTAGTGGATCAACGGAAGAATAGAGGGCCTCAAGACCTATCGAATGAACCCCTATATGTGTGTTCCGAAATTTTATAGTTCAGGAGATATTTGCAATTTTATGAAATTTAGAGAAAAAAAACGGCACAGTGAACTGTCAATCGCAATTACAACTAAACCATTAGTTTTAGGGCTGGTTTTTTTTGTGATGAGCTAAATGGTTAGTTTTAGCAATGGTTATGCCACTTTTTAACAGACCTTATAAGAAATCAACGCAAAAAATCTTAAATTCATTTTTTTTTGTGAAAAATCTCTTCCATTCCTCAGGTTTGGATGGCGGTAAAAAATTGAGCTTGTACTTCATTATTCATTTTATTCTAAAAACTATTTCAATCCATGTAGAATAAACCCTGAACATTTCAGATTGCTACGATAAGTGCCTCAGCTTAAAATAGCTGTATGTTTGATGCAGCTGGGTAACTATACATGTGAACAAGAAATTCTATTTTACGAACTACAGTCCAAACGACGGATGGATTTTGACATATGAGGTACTGTAAGATTCGTCCGCAGTGCGGGTGATACTGTGTGTATTAACATTTTGTAAAATCAAAATAGCGGATTTTTTACGCAAATAGCCATATCTGCTTAATGAGCTTGGACATTCAACTCGGCATTCCAGGTGCGGGAGCATTCAATCTTCGATCCGACCGAAATTACTAAGTCAGGCAATGTTCCAGCGCGGAATTTGTATCTAACGTATGGCATCTGAATACAATCATGTCATATTCTCCGCGAGATTATGCAGAAATGCATTACTATTATGGTGCTGCCCTAGGAAATGTTCGAGCAGCTGCTCGCATGTATTCGGAGTATGTGGTTAGAAGAGGTGGACCACAACCGGCGGTAGATGCCGACTACCGGGTTTGCCACGCGACTATAATGCGTATATGGAGGGCCGCATACTAGACACTCATCGTCAGCTAGGAGCACCGAGGACACGCTCAGAAGAAATAGAAGATATAATAGAACCAGCCAAGAGAGATCCCTCTATAAGCACCAGAGAGAACATGCATCCTTACCATGTACAGAAAGTTCAGGAATTGCTACCAAGCGACTATGCACAAGGGGTTGAATTTTGCGAAAATATGTTGAGAAGGTGTGAAGAGGATGAAACTTTTTTCGACAGCATCTTATAGACAGATGAATTCAACTTTAACCGAAACGGAATATTGAACATGCACAATTTCCATTCATGGAGAGTGGAAAATCCACACGCTATTCGCCGACATAGCTTTCAACGTCAGTTCGGCGTTAATTTATGGGCTGGAGTACTCAACAAAAAATTGGCCAGTCATATCTTGCTTTTCTACAAAGCAGTTTGCATGAGCTGCTAGAGGATATACCTTTGGACGTTCGACGCCGCATGTATTTTCAATGCGATGGTGGCCCATGCCACTCTGCACGGGATGTACGGCATTACTTAGACAGTGCCTTTCCGGGGCGTTAGATAGGTAGAGGTGGACACATACGATGGCCTCCAAGTTCACCCGATTTTAAATACTCTAGATTTTTTTATATGGGGGTTTTGTGAGGGGATAATCTATACATATGAATATACAAATGTCAACCAACTGCGCCAGAAAATTGATGAAGCAAAAATAAACATTATGGAAAACGCAAATTCATTTCAAAGACGAAGGTGTCGCTTGTGTATAGAAAATAATGGAGGCGATTTCGAACATGTTCTTTAAAAGTTCTTTAAATTGAATTGTTTTCCACATTTGTCGGTCAATCGCCATAAAGAGCGGCTAAACATAATTCTGTACTTGTAGGTGGTAAGGATTCTATTGCGTTTCTTAC